TTGATCGAAATGATGCACATGCATTAAGTAAGTGTGGATTAGCTTATTATCATTTGAAAAATTATTATAAATCATTTGGTTCAAGTTCTAAAGATTTATTTAAATCCGTGAGTGACTTTTTATACTCCTTCAATTCCAGATATGTTGCTCCGCGAGTATGTAGGACAATTGCATCATTTGGTGCCATTTCTAAGAATTTATTTAAATCTGCAAGTGAATTTTCATACTTTTTCATGCTATAATAAATAATTCCTCGAAGTCTTAATGCCCATATATTATTTGGCTGAATTTCTAATAATCTATTTAAATCTACTAATGAGTTCTCATACCTCTTCATTATATAAAGAATTTCACTACGTTGCCTTAATTCACAAACGTTTGCTGAATAAATTTTTAAATATATATTTAAATCCTTAAGTGGTCTTATATAATATATTGATGCTTCGTGAAGTTTTATTGTAGGAAATCGGTTAATTGGTATCATTTTAAACTTTTCATATAAATCCGCACACGATCTATCGTACATTCTTAATACAAATGCATTGTTTGGTTCAATCACTAGTAAATTGCTTAAATTTGCGAGCGATTTAAATGATTTATAATATTCTTTCATATTATAATAAATTAATACACACTGAATTAATGCATTGGCATTATTTGGGTCAATTTCCAGCAATTTGTTGAAATCATTAAGCGACTCCTCATATTTTTCCATCATGAAGTAGCATTCTCCACGCTTATGTAGAACTATTGCATCTTTTGATTCAAGTTCTAGAAACTTAGTTAAATCTACAAGTGATCTTTCGTACTCTTTAATATTATAACAAATAATTCCTCGAAGTCTTAATGCCCAAATATTATCTGGTTGAATTTTTAATAATCTATTTAAATCCACCAATGAGAAGTCATACCTTTTCATCATATAAAAAACTTCACCACGTTGCCTTAATGCACAAGCATTATTTGGATCAATTTTTAAAGATGTATTTAAATCTTCGAGTGATTTTATATAATTTTCCATATTAAAATAGGTTGCTCCACGTTGTATTATAGCCCACATATTATTCGGATTAGTTTTTAATAAACTGTCAAAAAATGCTATTAATTCATTATATTTATCTGACCAAATGTCCGGTTTTAAAAGGTTATAAGGTAATTCTTTTAATATATTGATTTTAAGTGATGGAAAATTTTCTACTAATTTCTCTTTCTTTTCATTTGAAATATTCGGCCAACTTCGTTGATTTAAAACAAAATTTTTAATTTGATAATTTTTATAAAAAATTTGTTCAAACAATTGTTTTAATTGATTAACCTCAGGTCGAAAATTGATATATCCATCAAAGAATAATTGAATTATAGGATTTTTAAGGTTATTGAATGGCATATTGATAAAAAGGAAAAGTGCACAATATGGATGAACTTCATAGCCTATATGTATTTCGAGTTTTTTTAACTGATTTTTGGTTTGAAGGATTAAA